AAAATTATTATATATATATATATATATATATATATATATATATATATATATATATATATATATATATATATATATATATATATATATATATATATATATATATATATATATGTGCATGTGTGTCTTATATATAATTATATAATAACTAAGTTATTATATAATTATATATAACTAAGAACGTTATATATAAATTATATATAACTAACAACGTTTATTTCCCAGAAGATGAGATGGAGAATTAAGGAGAATGAACGATTGAGAGAGAGATGTTTTTAGTAATTTTTTCCTTATTTGGGGAAATAGACGTACTTTGTTTAAATTTTAAACATTTCTTTAACTAATTTCTTGATAAATTAAATCAATTTAGTATAATATTTACTCAGCAAATGATCTAATGAGAAAATAAATAAAAATTATAAATGTACATATTCATTTTTAATGCCTACACTGATTACTATAAAATATCTGCAGATATTGTCAACAAAATTAAGTTCTTCAAAGTAGCATAAGTAATAAATAAATATTGCTGCTTAGAAGTAGGTTTTTATTTTTATTTATTCTTTTTTTCTACTAAATATTTTACTAATCATTTTCAATATTAGCAGTAGTATTTATGTTAAATGGTATAAAAAAGTAGTTTAGTGCTTTAATTTATGTAAGGCGTTTTATTTATTTGTTTTATTATGGCATTATGATAAATATGTTATTGCTAAAATTTTTTAAAAAATTATTTACTCCAGTGTCAGAAACCAAAAAAGATTCTAAAAAAAGAGCTGAAAATGGGACGCTTGAGCAGATAAGACTCTTGGTAAAGCTGTATAACGAAAATAAGAGATTGTTTGATGGAAAATTTTCTCCTTGTAAAACAGATTTATTTTAGATATATATTATCTAATAATGATAAAACATTTTCAATGTTAATAAAAAATTTCAATTATTTTTAGCAATCGCAAAACTTACAAAAGACGATGCATGGAGTAAAATTGCGGACAAAGCTATCTGATCAAAAATCTGACAGCAAGGGAAAAGCAGCACGGATTATTTCTAGTCCAAACAAAACTGGCGGGGGTAAGGGGTGCTTGGTAGAGCTTGACTCCATTGATCAGCAAATGGTGTCCAAGATGCCAAAAGTTTCATACATGGTAATGATTTTAAAAGAATATAATTTTTGTGTGTTCTAATATATATATATATATATATATATATATATATATATATATATATATATATATATATATATATATATATATATATATATATATATATATATATATATATATATTTACAGGGACTCACTGGAGGTATTGACTCTCTTCAAAGTCCTACCGCATCGATTAACGACTTTATTTTTCAACAGATATCAGGGAATTTTTCACCACAGCCAAAGGAACAAACGTTTGATCAGTATGCAAACTATTTTTTGTGCAATGTGGTAGTTTAATAAATTTTCTTGCTTATTTTTATTATTTGGTAAATATATATATATATATATATATATATATATATATATATATATATATATATATATAATATATATATATATATATATATATATATATATATACATTTTCTGTATAAAATAGATCGAGTTATATTTATTTAAATGAAAAAATTACAAATTTTTATGGAACTATTAGTTTCATGCCACTTGGCAATCATTCAGACATATTATTCAAAATTTTCAAAATAAAAAACCGTTAAAAAATACAATCTTTTAGCGTTGTAACGGTATCTGACGTTAAGTTTACGTCACATGATATCATGAGTTCCTAATCTCCGGTATCGAATTGTGAAAGCAGAACTTTTTTCTATGCCTGCTAGAAGAAACCAACTCACTTTTTTATTAAGTAGTAATCCTTGATCATAAGTCATAATTAAATACTTTTTTTATAGGCAAAGATTACATCTTTTAGTTGTTGGATTATATGATTGACACTTTTTAATTATGTTCCACTTGATTAACGGCATAATACCTGCATTTTTATGTTTCCATATTTCTTTAGAAAATTCTGTATCCTTTTCGTATCTAGTAACCTTAACGATATAACACGTTATTGAGAAACACGTTGTTGATATAACTAATATATGTACATATATTAAATTTAATATACACATATTTTATTATAATAAAATGTGTGTGTGTAACATACACATATATTTAATATGTGTGTATGCAAGGCCGTCGCGATAGGGGGGTACGGAGGGTGTGACACCCAACTTCCCCATCAATGATTTTTAATCTGCAAATTGGACCCTTAGTCGGCAAATTGGACCCTTTTAGACTAGTTAGTCGGCAAATGTCGACCCTTATGATATAGGTTAGTCGGTAATCTAGACAGTAGACAGTTGGCAAATATCGTTATGGTAGTCGGCAAACTTTCGAAAACAAGGACCTACTTTTTTTTTTTTTTTTTTGAAGTCAGCAAAAATTGTAATGGCACCCACCCCCACGTGACACCTACTCGCGCCGGCCCTGTGTGTATGTATAAGTAACATATAG